AGCGTTATCTACTAAGCTACTGGAGCACGATAGCGCAGTAGCTGACGAGTCTCAAATGGTTCGAAACGCGCATCCTGGATTCCTATGGTAGTAACCGAGATCAAAACAATATCATGAATATCTAGCAGTGTCGAGGCCTCCATACAGGAGCCCATCTACCAACAGAGGTTGAGTAATTCGGCCCTGTATAGCAACGGGGAATTACAAGTGTCATTACAACAACTGATACCCATTGCACAAGAGGTGGTTATCGTGCCCCAGTGGCCCAGATGATAACGCTCTGGCGTTTGAAGCTGAGTTCTGGGCTCCAACCTCGGTGGGGACAACATCACTCCCTGGGGTGCAGGTACTTTCAGCTGACAAGTCCCAAATAGGACGAAACGTGCATCCTGGATTTATCTGCTAGTTGCTAAGATCAATTTGTTGATTTATTTTCTTTGATGTATCAACATTGAAATGGATACAGAAGGATGAAAGAACTAAATAATCAGTAATAAATTCAAAGAAATCGGTGTTTGCACCTCTAATATATCATCAAACTATTTTGTAGGCTAATTCCTACCCAGTTAAGAGTGAACCTATGTGGTATGAGCAGAAATCTGAAATTGTCCAACGGGTAGCAGTAAATACTAGAAGACTTTTTCATTCCTGTGAAATGTTTTCAGCCAGAAGTCTTGAACAGTGGATGATACTGTTACTTTTGATGACATGTTTTTAGTGCCTACTTAATAATTTGTAATAGATGACCTAGTCTAACTGCTACAGTTACTCATAACGTTTCTGATATAACCAAATTATTCACATACAATGTTTTCAGCTACCTTGGTGTTTTCTACACTTTTCTAGAAAGATATTTAGGCAATCTGAAGCTCATATGTATAAACATGTAGATTTTGCAAATTTTTGGTGTGCAGTGGTTGGTCATGAAGGTTCTTAGAGAATTTCGGGCTCCTCTGAGGATTTTAGGAGGCGATGACTCGCTCCATAAAACTTTCTTCTTTGAATAGGCAACAGTATGCATGACGTTCCTTTCATATTTGTTTATAATTGCCTCACAAGTTTTGCGAAATGAATCGTTGAACACTATTCTGGTTTTAGACTAGTAGGATTCTACTAGTTTTTCTTACTGCTGATAATTTGTAGGTCAGTTTCTGACAGCTGTAGATTGTCTAGCAACAGATCTAGTGGTAGCCTGCGGGAAATACTTGTTTTGCTGTGGTTATCAAATAAAGAACTTATTGGATTCACCTCCTTTTTTCGAAGCTCTGAGCTGACAAGTATTTCGTAGAGTACTATAAAGACTACTTTTGGTCAATCCAACTCACTATTAGTAATTAATTTGGTATGCTGTAACAAGAATCTCATCACCAGGAGGAAAACTTCAGCCGTGATGTAGCAACTCCTCTCATTTTCATTTAGACACAGGCATTGTTATTATTATTACTATTATTATCACTATCATTTGTCCCTTGGGCTCCTAATGGAACATAGGGATTCAGTAGCACGTCTCCAGTGAACTCTGTTCTCCGAAATCTTTTCAACCTGGCTCCACGACAGCCCAGAAGCTCTCATTTCTTCCTCACACGATCTCCTCCATGTCACCCTTGCCTCGGACGCCCAACTCGTCGCTTCCCACCTGGCTTCTACTCGAGGGCCTGGCGCATGATGTCTCCAGTCGGCCTTCTCAGTGTATGCCCAATCCATCTGCACTTCCCCATTCTGCATATTTGTTGAGTGATAGGTTCTTGGTTGGTTCGTTGCCGGCCAGAGTTACTTGTTGCTTATTCTTTCTGGCCATCTGATCTGATCTTCAGTAACGAGCCAGCGTAGGCAGTTGTTGATCAGTGTCTGTAGTTTGTTTTAAATCCCTTTCGCAACGCACCAAGTCTCTGAACCATATAGAAACACTGACTTAACATTGGTGTTGAAAATCCGGATGTTGTTCACGCTTTATTCTGAGTGCAGATCTCCACACTGATTTCAGGCTAATGAACGCCTGTCTTGCTTTTCCGATCCTAACTTTGACATCCTCGTCTGTGCCTGTATCACCTGTAGTTGAAACGATGCTGCCTAGATAGGTGAAAGAGGCTACTTCCTTTAAGTTTCTCCCGTTGATAGTGATTGCAGCTTGTCGTTGATGCTGTTATACGTTGGGTATCTTCATCACCTCTGTCTTCTCTACGTTCACTTGAAGTCCCGTCTTCGCTGCCCTGCCTCTTCTGTCAACTTGTCAGTTCTCGCCTGTAGATCTTCAAGTTTGTGTGACATTATACATTAGGCGAAATCTAAATCTTCTAGGTTCTTCTCCCTGGTCCAGCGCATACCCCTCTTCTCGCTCCTTACGGTTTGTTGCATGATCCAGTGCACTACAATCAGGAATATCATGGTTGATAGTAGACAGCCTTGTCTTACTCCCGTCCCCTGTCTTCACTTCAAACGCATCACTGAGCGCACATTGTGAACTACTTGGTATGTGGTGTCTTCATATGGTTGTTGAATGAGACTGATATAGGTTTGTGGTATTCGTAGTGTTAAGGCAAATGCCTGCCAAATTACTTCTCGGTCGACGCCTCGATCAAAGGCCTTTTCAAAGTCGATGAAGTTGAGGTAGAGGGTTGACTGCCATTCTATACTCTGTTCTATGATGAGATGATGTGAAGCGTTGGAATTTTGTCCGCACATGATTTGTACTCCCCGAAGCCAGCTAGCCTGTTCCGGTCGTAGTTTTGAATCCAGAGCATCCTTTAGTCTCTCCAAGATAATATTTTGCTTGGGTTGGACAGGAGCATGATTCCGCACCGGTTCTTGCAAAGACTCAGGTCGCCCTTCTTCAGGAGTTTGACTAGGTAGCCCTTCTTCCAATCGATCAGCAGGTACCTTCCCTTTCTTTCAGACTATCAAAAAAATAGTGGTGTGAGCATGTCCTCTGTTGTCTCTGCGCCTGGTCTCAGTGCTTCTGGCGGGATTCCATCTGGTCCTGCTGCTCTCCCTCATTCCAGTAGCTTTATGGCTTTCAGAACTTCGACTTTCGTCAGAGGGCTTGTGTTCGCTGGCAGTTCTATTTCTGCAGGTGGTGATCGATTCAAGAGCTTTTCGAAGTGGTCAGACCATCGTTTCCTTTGTTTCTCTTCTTTGGTAATTAGATTTCCTTCATCATCTTTTATTGGTTTCATCTGTGTTGATCTCTTCCCTCACAGATAGTAACCTGGTTATTTGATACAATGTTGTCAAGTCTCTCCTACCAGCCGGCAGCCTGTTCTGCTTCACTTGCCAGTGTGTCGTAGAAGGGTCTTTTGTCTTTCCGCGCACTCTTCTTCACTTATTTCTCTAGTGTTATATACGTTGTATCCGGTTACTCTTCTCGCTGTTAATTCTTGCACTGGTTTATCTTATGCTTCACCATCCTCCTCTCCTCTATCAGCCTCCACGTGTCCGTCAAGATCCATTCCTTATCTTCTTTCTTTTTTGTCTTGATGTCTGACATGAAGATGTCCTTTGTAGTCTCGTCCTTCAGTTTCTGTTCTGGGTGCTGAACTTGAACTGTGGTCGTCCATCACCAGCTTCTTTGAATTGAAGGCTTTGAACGTGATTTTGAAGGTTCATTTCACTAGACAGTATGTGGTGTGAACCTACATCTCCCCCCCTTCTTGACCTTGTTTCAAGTAGGCTGGCTGCATCTCCACTTTCTTCACATTGAGATGAAGTCGATTTGATTTTTAGTGTGTCCTGGTGTCTAGTGAAATCAAATCCATGTCACTTTGTGAGTGTCCCTGTGCTTATACACACTGCCTCCAATCACCAAGTCGCTGAATGCGTAGAAGTCTGCAAACAGTTCTCCATTCTCGCTCATCATTTCACCGAGTGCTTCTCGGCCAATGGTTAGTTCTCTTCCTGTGTTGTCCGCTCCAAGTTTGGCATTCATGTCTCCCATTAGAATTTTGATGTCGCCACCTGGGGTGAGGTCTTGTCTATTACTGATTGCATTTATCTGTAGAATTCCTCCTTCTTCTCTTCATCTGCATTATTTGTAGGTGCGTAGTGTAGCATTGTATGATTGTGACTTTTCTTCCTTTTGAGTTGGACCCTGCTGTCATGATCCTCATCCTGGTGGAGATTGGTTCCCACTGCATTAAGGAGATCCTTCGATGCTCTTGGTGACGTCATGATAGCCACTCCAAAACTCAGTGTGCTCGTGGTTGTCGTCTGGGTAACAATATCGGAGTAGATTAGATTATTGACTCCTCTCCAGTTGACAGTTTGGAGAGTCCACTTCCATTCCATCTGCTCTCACGAATTCCTAACACTTCTATGCCATACCTTCTCATCTCCTTTGCAATCTGGGCAGCCTTGTCAGCCAGCTTCAAACATTGTTCGGACATTCCATGTCTCCATCCTTACATTCGCTTTCATCGAAAGAAGAGAAGACACATCGGCCGACCGGCTTCGCGAAGGCTTTCACCAACCGGCGTCATTTCGCCTCTTCGATTCCAGGGAGGAATAATATTGTTTGCATTTTTATATTTTGTTTGTGCTTTGAAGTTTTTTTAGCGGTTTGATTGATTTCCCGGGAAAGGGTCGCCAGCCTTATGTCCAACCTTCCTTCTTTATATGGGCTTAGGATCGGCTATTAATTGGTGAACTATTTAAGCAGTCGAGCGTCGATATGCTCCTAATTCCTTCAATTCGTGTTGTAGTGTGTCCACCCACCAGTGTCGGTGGGAAGCATGTTTCATCACATATGAATATCAATAGTGAGTGATCGTGTTGCTGGTAGTGTTATAATTATTCACCTGGGTTTGATTCCGCTCGCAGTCTTATATGCACACCACTGAGTGTTTTATGTTAGGGCTAATAGAATATTTGTACATCATTAAAATATCAGAAAATCAATATTTCTGCTACCATTATTGATCATTTGTACTAAATAACAGCTTATTGGTACAACTTCAAGGTTATCAGTGAAAAAGCTTATTTAACTCTTATGCCATTTTTTCTAAATTAAATTTTTAAGACGATTGATTATGAGAGCAATTTTGGTGTGATCTATAATTTCATAATGCATACCGTTTCAAATGTTGCACGTCATTATATCTGTAACGTATCGAATTGTTGTCATCCATCCTGTTGGGAAGCTGTTAGGAAGCTAATAAATGGAATTCTTATATTTAAAGCTAAATATCCTTTGTGGAATAATTGTAAAGAATTAGGTAACACTGTTAAGCCTCAAGGGATAATCACTTGCAGATATTCCGCATCAGTTAATTTATGATTTATTTTCTAACTCTGTATTCTCTGATTCTGAGTATGGTTACCACCGTAAGTTTATCATATCACTTAGTAATTATCCCTTGAAATGATTTTTTTTCTAGTTTACAGTTGATTGTTTCATAATTCAAAGTGTGTGTAAAGTATTGAAAATTAATCACTTTCTCAAGCAGGATGAGGAATTTGAAAACGATTTACAAATTGCATGGTGCACGCTAATCTTCCTCACAGCAGAGTAGTTTTTCAACTACCTGAATGTGGCGTCAAAAAGCTTTCTGTTGGAAACCATCCATTAATCAAGATCATAGAGTTTCATCTCTAATATAAAATTGTCACTAACTAGCTTAAGATATAAGCGAACGACTTGAGTGGACCATGTGATTTCTAAATCATTTACAAATTGGTCATCGTACTTTTAGTATACCAGTCTATACAGGTCAGCTAGCTAGGTTGAGGTGCTTTGAACTAATTCTACTCTGTGCGCTAAATTTGTTTAGATACACCACCACTACCACAAGCGAAACTGTCATCCGGTTTTTAGATCACTTAGATCTGATTAATGACGTCCACCTACCACCGTTAGTTTTTTTCTAGCTACTCAAGTTGTTCATGAGTATATTACTCTGTGATACTTGATCATATACCATGCTCATAGTTCACATGTTATTCGTTTGGTAATGGTCAACACTAGAGTCCATGAAGCACATATTTCATTCTGTTTTAAACTCAGTAACCTGATTTATCTGCATTTCAGCGCTAACTGGTGCTGTTGCTGGAGTTCAGATCCGTTCTGCTTATGATCTCTGGTTAGAACAAAACGGAAACCCTGGACCTGACTGCCAAACACAATTGGAAAAATTGATTATAGTGAAATACATGGCAGTACTGAGACTTTCATTTATTTATTTAACTTCTGTGTGATTGTTTGTAAGTACAACTCACAGACTACAAGAACTCTGTGTTTGATCCTTTTTTTATCTATGAATGTCGGTGTAAGAGTGGAATTCAAACACTATAGTAGAGTATAATTAAATTGTTGTTTTTTACATATGTAACGTACAGTAAAAAAGTACTGTTTATGAATGACTTTAATAATTAGTTTCGTATCAAAGTAATCACCAAGTCTTCTGATTTACTTCTCATAGTTCGAATGTTTTCTATTATTTAGTTTAACCGGTAGTTAAAACATTCATATGTCCGGAATTTGTGTTGTGTGGTTCCTACTATATTTATTGGGTGTTGATCTGATGAATAAAGATTCGGTGATTAATGTCTCTCTCCACCTAAATGCATTCGACCATAGTACAGTTGCATTATCTTATCCTACAGTATAGTTGTATGTCAGTGAAAAAGTCGGGTTTTTTCCAGATTATTGATCTTAAGTATGACGGAATTCTTGTACCGGAGGAACGTCACCAGGCAGACAATACTGTATCCCTGAATGGAATATCAAATAAACAGGTCCAATTTAGAGTGCTATCGAACCTCTTCATCACAACTGTTTACTCAACCGAATTTGATGTAATTACTATGAGCTTAAACGCACAAATCAAACCAGCCTGGCGGAGTCAAACAGGTTAGCAGAACATAAAAAACTAGCTGAATACAGAACAGCAGATCCTAATAAAATAAGAAACATAGGTAAGATCTTGGTTGTAGCCACATACAGTGTCACTTGCAACCACACAATAGGATTGGATCGAGAAACAACTGTAGCAAATAACCTGGGTCAGTGGAGAGAGACATTGATTACCGAATCTTTTTTCATCAAACCAGCACCCAACAAATATGATGGGAACCACGCAACACAAATTCTAGATATATGAACGCTGCAGCTACCAATTAGATCAAATGATATAAAACAGTCAAACAATGAAAAGTAAACCAGAGGACTGATATGATATGATTAATAACAATAAATCGTATATGAAATGTCATTTAGTACATAATTCTGTATGGCTATGTGAAATGTTTGAAAATGGACTATAATCGAATCTACGAATTTTCTTTTTGATTTACTAAGTTATTTCAATTGAGAGGTTTGTAGGGTTTTATTAATTTTAAGTCGGTATTCATCACAGATTGACATCAGTTGGAGGACCATTAAAAATCTGGCAGCCCTGGACACCCATTTCATCCCAGTATGGAACTCCTCTGTAGTGTGCACCTATGATCCTGCCGGGGATTGAATCCAGGCCCTTTAGGTCTCTTGATGAGCACTTTACCAATGAGCCACTGGACTGGAACTCAATGGTCCACATTTTCCGACTTCTGTCCATTTGCAATATGGTGCAGTCTTTGCCCAGTGACACCGTTGAGTATTCATCCTAACATCATAACCGATTTGCTTATTTGGTCACGACCTCTCATTTGAACTTCGATAAATCTCGTCGCGAAGCATATCACTGATGACCATTCAGTTATGCTCATTATTTCGGTATCTGAATTTCTCAATGAATAAAATCAAAAACGATTTGTTTTAACTGATGTTGGCTTTTAAATCCTAATAGCTCTACCAAAGTTATAATAAACCCGAATTAACTTGGTGTGAGTTCTTCTGAATGGATAATTATGAGTCATCCAACTGTTGAACAAAGATGAGCCCCATATAAAGTGCACCATATATGATGAGTGTGTGAATTACAGATTGAGATTTGTATGTGTGTCAGTATTTACGCTTGGGTTGGAACCGGATCAAGTTAGATTTTATCCCCTCATTCGTGTTTAGACTATTTCGACTTCACTTTATGTAAAGAGATTCTGCTATCAGACGTTCCTTATAACTTCTAAAGCCTTTCTGGTCCTACTTGGCATGCTTCTGGGAAGTAGACAAGTGTTTCACCATAACTTTATAGACGCTATAATTACTTACCGTAAATCTCCTTCCAGTTTTGATCTTGTATCACCCACATGTCATGGTGAGCACGTTGTACGTAAATGCACCTGACCACTTGTCGACTATGCACCGAGTTTTCTTATCAGTAGTCCGGAAGCAGTCAGCGTAAAGTGCGGTATCCAAGTTTTCAGCCATATGAATAACGTAAGTTTGTTAGTACTTGCGTTTAGTTTATAACCTATGTTATCAACATGATTGCCAACAGCTGATAAATCCCATACTCATGCGAATTTTATTACTAAACTCTGGTTAAAATTCTCGCCTCAATTTTTCAGCTTCTGGATTAACAAATTACGCATTCTTTATGAAGGGAAGGTGTGAAGCACAGCACAACGAAATCTTAAGAAATCAAGAACATACAACGATAAATATAAACAACCAGAAAAAGATGGAAACTAGTGAACAGTATTTCGACAGCTCAAAAGAACACTTACTTGCACTAAATTTATTACGAAGCGAATTAGATAAGTGGAATGGAGTTGAAGATGCAAGTTCACTAAAATCACCATACATTTGGATACCTCCAAAGAAAATCAGTGATGCACAGAGTAAATCATTGAAGTATGTCTCATAAATTTTTCAACACTGATCTTATATGATGAACGAAATCGTCACTTTATTTTGACTACTTCTCAAACAGATATCGGTTATGATTAAGGTCTGAATACATGGAAACGATAGCCTCCCTATTAGTTATCACAGATTATAGTTGAAGTTTTTCGATAGACGCATTTATCACTTTATGACTCTGTTATGTTTTCGCAGTACTTATTTTTTGATTGATAATTCATAGGGATTGATTGATTTTGACGTAGTATTCATTAAGGACTGACACTGGTTGGACGATCACTGGACAGGCACTTAGTCCTAGTATGTGACTGTCAAGTTTTGAGTACTCATGATCCGGCGAAAGATGCAGTCTTAGACCTACAGGTCGCGTGGAGAGCACGCTGGGTTGGTATCAGATGGTTAAAGTTTCCCTGTTTCTGTCTATTCATGATACAGCACAACCATCATCCAATATTATCAGCAAGCATTTGTTTTCACACCTGACTCACTTGACCCCACTGGTCATGAACTGTCATTAGAACTTCGAGAAGTCCATCTCGAGGCATGCTACTTATTTAACTTCTCTTTCTTGAGTCGAAAAATGTCTTTCTTTAATACTGACCGATTTTTATAAATAATATACATACATATATGTATAATTCTTGAACAAGCACTAGTGGACTGTTTCTGTTGAGATCTCAGTACTTGTCTTCAAAAATAAACCCAACTCTAACCGGATCTTCGAACTGTCAGAAAGTGAATTCCCACTTCCCTTATATTAAGGTTACATATTTATGACCAGATCTCCATACTGTGCTTGATGTTGGGATCAGGTAGGAATAATTACTAAAATGTTCCAGAGTAGAGCGGAACAATTGTTTAATGCTTCATCATTTCTAGTGATTCCAGACATATCTAAATGAAGACTAATTTCGTGAAGAGTACCAGATGCACAAAATCATTATTTCTTCACGACACTTCTAACAGTAATGATGTATTGCATTCCCAGTGATTCCAAGCGCAAATTACTGTATGTTAATCTGACTTTTTGAATTTGATATATTCAAACAAAAAAATGTTGAAAAGAACAAGAACAACATTGGGAGGAGGATTAAGCGGATCTATTTTATTTCAGTGGGATTTGGTGAAATGCTCACAACCTAGAATATCAGAATGCATAGTATAATTGCAAGTTTTTTGAAACGAAACAGAATATTGGTCAGTGGTTAAGATAGACAAAAATAGCCATAGAGTGAAGGTCAATCATAACGGCAAATTCACGAAAGGTTAGTAAATGGCAATAAGATGTCTCAGTTCTATATAAAATCCGATGGAACTTCCTCGGATGAGAATAACGGTAGGCGTAGCAAGCAAAATATTGTGGAACTTAGCATTATACGACTACTTAAGTAGGTCATTCGATAAACAAGCGAAATATTGCGAGTTAAGCTTGGTTAGCTAGAACACATTCGACATAAATCAAAGATGATGCAATCAAATAAGAGTGAAGTAAAAATGTAAGGTCGACGAAAGATGATGTGATCAAATAACAGTCAAGAAAGGTTACCAAGGTAAATAAATATAGGCTGAATATGACTTCCTTTTGAACACATAAATCACGTTTGAGGCGTCTAGTGACTATGGCTTCAGTAAACTCCAACAGAATTGAACTCGTTAGTCTGTTTGTTATCCTGGAGGAATTGACGATGTCTGCTTCATGCACAGTATTAATGACAAACCAAGAGATTGCACTTTTCAAAGTGTTACTTCCATTTACTTATAGGCTGTTCGGAGTTTGTTCAGGAAATCTAAGACTTCCTCTTCTTTCTGTTTTTCCAATGTATCTGCATCGACAGCTACATGTAAATTTAAAATAATTAGTTCCCTTTATAAACTTCTCTCGATGAAAGCGAAAGTAAACGTGGGGACATGGAATGTCCGCACGATGTTTGAACCCAGTAAGGCAGCCCACATTGCAAAGGAGATGAGAAGGTATCACATCGAAGTGCTTGGGATTTGCGAAAGCAGATGGAATGGGAGTGGACTCTCCAAATCGTCAACTGGAGAATCAATAATCTACTCCGGTCACATAGACGCCAACCACGAGCACACTGAGTTATGGAGTGGCTATCATGATGTCCCCAACAGCATCGAAGGCTCTCATGCAGTGGGAACCAATCTCCTCCAGGATCATGACAGCAAGATTCAACTCAAAAGGAAGAAAGGTCACAATCATACAATGTTATGCACCTACAAATAATGCAGAGCAAGAGAAAAAGGAGGATTTCTACAGACAACTTCAATCAACACTGGACAAGACGTCAGTTGGCGATATCAAAATCCTAATGGGCGACATGAATGCCAAACTGGGAGGGGACAACACGGGAAGAGAACTAACCATGGGTCGAGAGGCGCTAGGTGAAATGAATGAGAATGGAGAATTGTTTGCAGAATTCTGTGCATTCAACGATTTGGTGATTGGAGGCAGTGTGTTCAGGCACAAAGATATCCACAAAGCGACATGGATTTCACCAGATGGACACACTAAAAATCAAATCGACTTTATCTCAATCTCAAGAAAATGGAGACGCAGTCTACTTGACACAAGGTCAAGAAGAGGAGCAGATGTAGGCTCAGACCACTCACTGTCTAGTGCAAGGAACCTTCCAAATCAAGTTAAAAGCCTCCAAAGAAGTTGGCGATAGACCACAGTTGAAGTACAACACTCGGAAACTGAAGGATGAAACTACAAAAGACATCTTCACGTCAGCCATCAAGACAAAATGGGAGACAGCGAGCAACATCCCTGAAGAAACCTGTGTGGAAGAACACTCAAAGTCTTTGAAAGCTATGTGGAAAGAAACCTGCACAACCGTATTAGGAAGGAAGAAGAAAGAAGATAAGGAATGGATCTCGACGGATACCTGGAAGCTGATAGAGAAGGGAGAGGAGGATGAAGAAGCAGAAGATAAACCAGTGCAAGGATGCTCAACGACAAGAGGAACTGAGCACAATGTATAAAACACTGGATAAAGAATTGAAGAAGAGTGCACGGAAAGACAAAAGACACTTCTACGACACACTGGCAAGTGAAGCAGAACAGGCTGCAGGTAAGAGAGACCTGACGACATTGTATCAAATAACCAGGTTGCTATCAGGGAAGAGACCAACACAGATGAAACCAATAAAAGATGAAGAAGGAAATTTAGTTACAAAAGAAGAGAAACAGAGGAAACGATGGGCCGACCACTTCAAGAAACTCTTGAATCGACCACCACCTGCACTTCGTCCAGAAATACCACCTGCAGCCGCTGAATTACAAGTGAACATAAATCCCCCAACGAAAATGGAAGTCCTGAACGCCATAAAGCTACTGAAATGCGGTAAAGCAGCAGGACCAGATGGATTACCGCCAGAAGCACTGAGAGCAGATGCAGAGACAACAGCGGACATGCTCACACCACTATTGCAGAAGGTGTGGAAGGAAGAGAAGGTACCTGCTCGTTGATTGGAAGAAGGGTTACCTTGTCAAACTGCCGAAGAAGGGAGACCTCAGTGTTTGCAAGAACTGGCGCGGAATCACTCTCCTGTCCACCCCAAGTAAAATATTAAGCCGCATCATCCTGGAGAGGCTTAAAGACGCACTGGATTCAAAACTACGACCGGAACAGGCAGGCTTTCAGGAAGTGCAAAGCATGTGGACCAAATTGCAACGCTTCGCATCATCTCATCATAGAACAGAGCATAGAATAGCAGTCAACCCTCTACCTCAACTTCATCGACTTTGAGAAGGCCTTTGACAGCGTCGACCGAGAAGTAATTTGGAAACTGCTTCAATACTACGGAGTACCGCAAACCTTTATCCGCCTCATTCAACAACTATATGAAGATGCCACATGCCAAGTAATCCACAATGGGAAGCTCAGTGATACTTTTGAAGTGAAGACAGGAGTGAAACAAGGTTGCCTACTATCCCCCATGATATTCCTTATTGTGGTGGACTGGATCATGCAGCAAACAGTAGGCAGCGAGAAGAGGGGAATACACTGGACGACGGAAAAGAACCTAGAAGACTTGGATTTCGCCGATGACTTGTGCCTAATGTCACACAAACTTGAAGATCTGCAGGCAAAAACTAACAAGTTGATAGAAGAGGCAGCTAAGACGGGACTTCAGGTGAATATAGAGAAGACAGAAATGATGAAGATACCGCACCACCACCATCAACAACAACAACAAACTCCAATCACCATCAACGGGAGAAACTTGAAGGAAGTAACCTCCTTCACTTATCTAGGAAGCACTGTTTCAACTACAGGCGGGACGGACGAGGACGTCAAAGTGAGAATCGGAAAAGCAAGACAGGCGTTCATTAGCCTGAAACCAGTGTGGAGATCTTCTGCACTCAGCATGCGGAACAAGATACGGATTTTCAACACCAACGTCAAGTCAGTGCTTCTGTATGGTTCAGAGACTTAGCGCGTTACGAAAAGCATTTCCAACAAACTACAGACATTCATCAACAACTGCTTACGCTCGCTGCTGAAGATCAGATGGCCAGAAAGAATAAGCAACAAGGAACTCTGGGAACGAATCAACCAAGAACCTATCACGCAACAAATATGCAGGAGGAAGTGGAGATGGATTGGCCATGCACTGAGAAGGCCGACTGAGGACATCACGCGTCAGGCCAGTTGCTCGAGTGGAATCCCAATGGGAAGCGACGAGTTGGACGTCCGAGGGTGACATGGAGGAGGTCGTGCGAGGAGGAAATGAGAGCTTGTGGGCTGTCGTGGGACCAGGTCCAAAAGATCTCAGAGAACAGAGTTCACTGGAGGCGTGCTACTGAAGCCCTATGTTCCACTAGGAACCCAAGGGACTAATAATAATAATAAATAAACTTCAACAAAACAATAAGAGGACGTAATTTGCCTGAAAGGTGTAATGTATTTGTGCAACACATTTCGAACTATCTGATCACATACGTACTTGTCATAGGTATTAATGTAAAAACTCATGAAGATAAGGGGTGAGAAAATAAGAAGAGGTCAGGTAGGAAGGCTGACTTAAAGGCCGAATAACAATGAAGATCAATGGAGCGGAAAATAATAGTACATCGAACTTGGTTTTCAATAGTTGAATTTACCAAGGAAGATTTAATGTGACAACAAATTGTTTATGAACACATAAAGGTGGTTTGAACTTCCTAATAGCTAAGGCTTCAATAAATTTCAGGATCCCTCCCCAACATGTTTTGTGAATAGGGGTAAAGGAAGTAGCCATATCAATCCTGTGGCCTGTTTCAACAATATGTTTGGCGATCGAAGAACTTGGACGTCTACTACCAACATTTACGGGGTTAGGTGATTTAATTTGCTTCTGAAGCCACTTTGAAATATGTTACTAGGCCCTTACTTTCATGGATCTATTAGTCCTCCCTATGTATGTGTCACCACACGTACATTTGAATTGGTAGATATTTTCTCACCCCTTATCTTCATGAGTTTTTATATTAATACCTATGACAAGTACGTATGTGATCAGATAGTTCGAAATGTGTTGCACAAATACATTACACCGTTCAGTCAATTTACATGTAAATTGTTAAAAACAGTTGGAAATAATACAAGGAAAGTGTTGACAGGTGATGTTTCAAGTGAAATATGTGATACAACTTTCAACAACCATTAGTTAAGTAAGGAGATTTGTGATAAAGGTATTCAGTCAAGTACACATTGTAATCTCTTTTGCACAGAAGTAACGGGCTAGTAGTTAGGTGTCACCTGTTTGCGCATAAATAGAGCAGAGGAATGAAAAAATATTGATACCCAATAAAAATTATTACCCTGGACCAAATGTATTTCCCCAAAGAAGACTCTTTTCGAAACTTCTTATCACAGCTGCCCGGTTGCATTGTGGCTGAAAGATCTCAGGAATAGAGCCATCAAGGGTTGAAGATTAATGTCAATTACTATCAAAACGTATTGAACTGTGATGCGTAAGATACACATAGTATACTGTTGGAGATAGTAAGTCATTCTTACATCAAACAGTGTTTGCATACATAAAGATTACAGTTAAGAAGGGCTTCTTCCTAATGAGATGAAGCTAGGAAGCAGGACATTATACTCAAGAAAGTGAGAAAGATTTGGCTGAAAAATTCGGGCTGCAACTAAGGGAGTGAAAGTAGCTTAGAAAGAAAGTTATTTGGTAAAAGTCTGAGGGTTGTGGAACTAAGCCCATGATAGCAAAAGATGCTGGACAAAAAGTTTGTTGACATGGAGTCCAGGATTATTTTTGTGAATAACCACAGCTTCTGGTATTGAAAAAGGATACAATCGAAATCTCCTGGAACAGCTTGATCTCAGCTAAATTATCAAATTGAATAAGTGATGTACAGATGCTGAATGACCTAACAGAACAGTATATTCCGGAATGAGACTTTTTATTAGTTAGATTCTGTTTTTGATAATCTTCCCGGTATATATTCACCAGCTCATTTTGAAAGTGTCCTACCGATACGGTTTAGGTACTTAGCTCCATAACAGTACTTGAATTCATATACACGCACTGATGTTGCCAGCAACAGGATCTTACCTATGACTTTTTAATAAAGGAAATTTTATGGGGAGAAAGAAGAATGTAGAAGTGCAGAAAGGAATTTTCTTAAAACCGTTTTTGATAGAACAGCTTGCAGAGCTTGACCAACAGTATCTCTGTTGATTTTCAAATTCACACAAGTATTTCTTAGGTACTATTGCATGGTCAGTTTACAAATGACTAACAAATTACACGGTCCACGTTGATATTTCTGACATCCGAGTAGTTTTCAACTGCCCAACTATACTGTTAACTAGATTTCTGTTGGAAAACATTCAGCTGGGGCCACAAGATGAAACCTCTGACACCCAGCTGATGAGCCCGGCCGAGAACGAGAGAAACGGCCTTCTGATGTTGAGATCACTCTGATCTGGCTAGCGAAATGCTATAGACCAACCTCAATGGTTTCTAACTACTTAAGCTGTTCTTAGATACTTTACTTTTCATGTCTATCAGTAAAGGACATTAGGTATCCATTCTGAATTAGAGTTTCTTTAAAGAATTCTAATTCTCTGTCCATTTTGTCTTCTATGCATATGCGAAAAATTCCGGCGACAAAAAAGTACTCAGAATCCTTTCTGTCCTCATAGAGACGAAACCGTAAAAAGTCATCAACTGTCCATTCCATTTAAGTTTATGGTTAATATGTCTTTCACTACTCACTATTCACTTCCCTTTGACAGCTGAACATCTAGAAAGAAAAGTATGCATTTCTACTCGATTTCAAGCGTAAAAGTAATTGAATGATCAGGACTGTCGAAGACCTCCGGAACTTTACGTAAATCAGCTGTTTTATTTGGAAACAGTCAGTATATCGCCCATATTTTGTCTGTAGACCTTGAACAAACCTATGGTTATAACGTCTCAGGATGTTTATAGATAGTTACTACAAAGGCTTATTAAATCATTTCGCACACTAGTCGTATTAAACTTTCAGTATCTGGAAACTGTTGATCAATCTACAGTACAAAGTATCTATAAATTTCTTTCCTGAACTCTTCATTCTATCAACTCTAAACATGATATACTTTCTTGGCATGACTTTCTTCTGGTTTCGGAGCTTAAGAAAAAAATACTCAAAATGTGCGCAGTTTTTTAGTCTGGTAATCATTTATTAAATTATGAAATGCATTCTCTCCTCTTTTTAGTAGACAAAAAAAATCTATAAAGAAAGGAAAGGGGAATCTATTATTTATGTTAGCATCTGGACCAGAAAGATGTCAGTCATTTATCCAACAAATATCACTCATCAAAACAGGGTCAAACCAAACTCAAATTTGTGATCATAATGTACAAAGTGGGATGGATAGAATTCCAAATAAAACTACCTGTATGGTGAGTTGAAAATTCTATTCCTAACGGACTCTAAATTACTTAACCTTTCTCATGTTAATGTCACAGTTTACACAAGTGGACTGACTGAATTTATGCATCTGAAACCATGCATCAGTATATTGATGAAACATCTAGTAGATGATAGTGAATGACTGGACGATAAAAATTGGTTTTTCGGTAAAGAGAATGAATTAATTCAAGGTTATTGGTACTAAATGAAAACGAGTGGAAGATACATAAAGTCTAGGTTTAAAGTATTTTGACGATGCCTCTCAAACATTTGACTCTAGCTGCCTTTCGCTCAGTGGCATCATTCAATAGGAATATTGTGTTTTACTCCTTATTTGGCCTAATGTGACTAGCACTGCAAAACTAGCCGCTGTTTGGATATCAGTACATTGACAATGTTTGACTTCACCAGTCGCGCAAACATAGACTATTAAGCTACTAGATACTAATTACTGAAGGCTATTTTCTGCCTTGTACTGGTTATTGACAGAGTCTAAAAATGCATACAGAGGGCTTATAAGGCATTTAAAAAATGATGCTGACTCCAGTACTGAGAAGAAACCTAGATACACGTCAAGGGAAAGATATACAGCTCAGCTATGTCTTCACTTGCCGCTGTATGATGGGTAATCTGCGTCAATGAACGAGAGAATAGTATGGTTCGAATGACGGGAGAAATCGCTGAGTACTTATCGAGTATTGTTGATCGAAATGTATGTTTTACAATTAGTTGTATATACACTGTACAGTTATCAGACTGTTGTTCTCAACACCATTATTCGTATCGAGTACCATGAAGAAATTTTCCGATTAAGTTTCTTTTAGCTTGATTATTATTGTCCGCAAGATGAATTGTTAATCTTAAAAATTAGATTCTATTCGTTTATTTAAGTGACGTGACTAAAAAGCTTGTTTGGTGGTGGCTAGAAGTGATATCCACAGCGTGCGTTTCGTCCTACTTGGGAGTCGTCACCTGGATGTATCTGCACCCCACTGAGCAATGTTGTTCCCACTGGGACTCAAACCCAGTATCTATAGCTTCAAGCACCAAAACGTAACCCACCAGCCCTGTGAGGCATGAGGGACACCTCTTGAGCAGCGGGTATCAGTTATTGTCATTTACTGATACTTGCAATTTCCCCTTTTTACATAGGATGAAACGCGTGTCCTGGATTACATTTCTAGCCACCACCACTCAAACTACAACACAGCGGATAATCAGGCAATATCAAGTCATCCGTATAGGAGCCCATTTCCCAGGATAGGTCAGTTACTTTGATCCTGAGTAATAACGGGAAACGACAGATATCAATAAATAGCAATGACCAATACCCGTTGGACAATAGGTGGCTGTCGTGATTCAACGGGTTAGGGGATAACGGTTTAGCCTTTGAATTGATAGACACTGAGTTCGAGTCTCAGTGGGAACAGAATTACTCACTTAGGTGCTGATGTGCTCCAAATAGGATGAAACACGCGTCCCGGATCCCACTGATAGTCATCAAGATGAATAAAAAGCTAAACAGATTGTTATACAGTTGCTAAATTTACACAGCCCAATTTTATTGAGGCTGAATATGACTTAAGACGCGATGTATAATCATTTTAGGTCGGAACACCGACACACAAAGGTTTTAATTGCAGAAATTATCAAGCTTTCTCCAAGTTTTGAAACAGATCTTGTTGATCAATCGAAACAAACGTAAAAATTAGTGACACAGTTTCTTGGCCGGTTTCATGCGAACACTTAGCACTATTCAGTTTAGGATTATGTCATCAAAATATAGTTGATAAATTTAAACTGCGAAATGGTAGAGCGTTGGTCCATGAATTTCAACAATATTTTAACCTGCATCATACCAAAAGAGATGAAGTGACTACTAGTCAGTTTTTAAGAAGCGGTTCTTATCGAAAAGAGAAAAAGTAATTCAATTTTCATGTTCGATAGAAAGAAGCTGGAATGCATTTTTTACTGAATGTCAATCTATTAATAATTTCAACTCAAATTAACTGAAAACACTGCATAGATTGCGATTTAAATTTACTCTGTACTATCAGACACGGAAATGGGAATAAGAATAGTTTTGAGATCTTAGGAACTGGTTTACATGGTTAATCTACTGAAAAGAAATGTTGTGTAGACCGCAGGGTATTAGGGGAAACATGGACCACTGCTCGATGCTTGGTTCATGAAAAGTTATCCAACAGAGCTTTCACTAATACTGTATTGTGCAAGACCGCAGTTAGTTAACAAGTCTAAGTAGTTCACCAAAGTCTGCTAAGTTGTCAGTGTCCAGATATCACTAAATGTAGAATGGTAGACTCTGTTACTATGAGTAATCCAGCGAAGAGCTTGATTGCTTCAGTACCTGTGGTGATGACATACACCATACAACAAGGCGGTTATTTTACTCATTGTGTTCATAGGCAATCTTCAGGTGACGCGAACCTGGGACATAATATCATTTTATTCTACAAACCTGGTTTTCTCGCTTTGTTCATATTTGTCAAAGGAACCAAATAGAGAAAATATTTTTTCGAATTTTTTTGTTGTTTCCCGTTAGTAAGCCATTTTTTATTCGAGAACAAATATTTTTATCATGTAATCAGATCATTCAAATCAATTCGTTCACAGCGTCATTCATTTATTGCACAGTAAGTCCTACAGCTTCTGAGTCGTCTCGCTCCAAAAGCCTGGACCAAGGGTAGCTGTCATTAAAAAAGTAACAATCTATGTCGAATAGTCAAGACTTGCTTTAAAACTCCAGGAACACGTGGACGACAAATATCTCACTTTCAGCATACGTTACGCAATATTATATAAAACCTTTCGGATCAAAAAATTCTTATCACTTAGCAGTGGAAATGTTATCAAGTGTCTATATTATTCATGACATAATACGTCGGAAAACTGAAACAACCTAGTGTAAAATTTTTGTAATCGGAAAAACAGATAAGCGGAATTCTGGAGGAAACAATAATGTAGTCATGGAAAATTGTAGTTACTCCAATTAGTAAAAGAATCAAGCGGGAAACTGAAAAAGTGACAGGAAATAAATAATATTTATTGCACTTTAACTAGATAAATTGGGGAAAACCAAATTATTCTTTTTTCATCTTCGAACTGGAACATTGGTATTCGTGCAAAATGTACTTTTCTAAGTCTGTTGTTAATGAATGACAGTTGTGAAGGACTTTCAAATCAATCAGTATATCACCTTAACTTTTATAAGATTCGATAAATAATAGAAAAATTGATAGTTTATCTTATCCCTGAAAAATTACTTTTAAAAGAAAACTTTTCACGTCACAATAAAGTTATTTTAATCTAAAACAAATCATCAATTTTCGCTAGGTAACAAAGGCGAAATAAAAGCCTGATTTACAGTAAAGATTTCAGCCAGTTGCCTTCGAGTTTCCGACCCTTTGATCTACGAAATAAACCACGAGACCCAAGTTCTGAATAGGTCTTAACTTTGATTTAGTCGTCTAAGATCGGACTAAAGTTAACATCTGATCAACAGATGGATGTCGTTAATCAGTCAGCAGAACTCTTGACCGGTAACCCAGAGGCCGCTGGTTTGAGTTTATGCGGAGATCAGGGTTTTCATTTCAGTTCCATTTATCACTCAGTATCAATATCGCCAGTCTACCAAACTGCAGCTGTCTCAGGCATATTAAAATCATGAATTAAAAAATGAGTTTGAACAGTTGGAATATGATGGACAGTAGTCTAAAACCAATTGATCAAAAGAGAGTGTAAAAAAAAACATTTTGTTAACGATAATGAATTTAAAAAAGTCAAACTCCTGATCGTTTAGTAATGAATGAGACCTACTAAAGTGACTACCGATATCATCAACGCCAGTGAAACAATTGTTAGATGGGATGAAGCAAACCTAATAGCATACACCATTTGATATGGTCTAAAGGCTGTTAGTAATGATATACCAAACAGATACTGGAAGAAATATTAGGTAAATATGAATGAAATTTCATAATGATTTAAAAGAATTTAGCTTAATGAATGGTTGGTCACTAGAGAGCAACCAATTTCATATTGGTGTTCATCATTACCTGACATGTGGTGAAGTGGCAGAGGTAGGCGATATGAATCACTAGGTTTCGACCCAGTGACTCAATGGTAACGTGCTGGACAAGGAACCTAGGGGTTCTGGGTTCGATCCCTGGCAGAATAATGGGGGAGCACTACCTAAGAGTTGCACACTTGGACGAAACAGCTGTCTAGTGCTCCCGGTGTCCCGATGTTTCTCCAACCGATGTCAGTCCATGATAAACATCAACCCGAAATCAATAAAATCCCCACAGGCCTTCAAATTGAATTTCATGTTATCTGATCCTAAGTGCTGACCGACCACTATTGTTCATTATGGTCATCAAACTAAGAGGTTCAGCATCACAGTGGAATTTGATGGATGTTAGTCGGCTGGAAGAAATTGACAGGAAGCCCTGCTCGACCTGGATTTTGGGCTTTTTGGTCATCGTCAGCAAGGCAGCCAGAACAGGTTTGTTGTGATGTCGTTGTCTACAAGACCGGTTGACGTGGGTTTGAATCTCAAGCAGGACATCAGTTCCGTTGAGGTTGCAGATACTCCTTGCTGACGAATCCCAATAAACCCAAAAACTAAGTCAAGTAAGTCTTTCTACTTAATGTCTGCAACCAAATAAAATGTAGATCATGCCGTAGTAAATTATGAAGATTCTCATACAACATGTTCCCTTAATCATTTTCATCGAAGCAAATCTCGTTCTTCTTGGGTTGATGAGAATTATGAGGATTACTGGTCTTCCACTATTTAGTGATATACTTGTGGTTCTCCGTTGTTTTTATTGGATCGAGTTCTTCTACCCCTGTTGGCATATGGGGTCCGAGGTCCGAGGTTCGAGTCTCAGTAGGAACGATATCACTGGGGTGCAGGTATATCGAGCTGACGAATCTCAAGTAGGACGAAACGTCCATCCCGGATTTTTCTACTAGCTACAACCAGCCAATTTACCATAATTGTTGGTCTCTGTCAGGAATTCATCAGTTAGCACTTCTTCACTTAAATACCCTTATTGTTATTTCAGTCCTAAAACAAAGTCCATTCTCCCTACCTAGGCAATCTGTTCAACATCAATTGATGAATCACTGAAGGTGGTATTGGGACGAAAGTGTCTCGTCAGCTTCGCGGAAGATTAGTCTTTTAGACTATGTCCTTTCATTGACTGTTCAATGTTTAACTACCACACCTTGTTTCTTGTCTTACTGATTAAGCTTAGTTGAACAGTCAGTTCATCATCCTTATACACTAGTTATGCTGAAGAGTGACAACGTTTTGTGAACTCGGATGTGCTTATATATCAATCTTACCCTATTTTCACTATACAGGATGGATTTCAGCCAAGAAATTAGTTTTCTAAGACATCATTCTCAAAAGCTGTACAATCACATTTAAACATTATGAGTGTATACATTTAATAGTTAAAAATGTCCGTACAGTTTGCCGATCAATAGCTGTTACTCGGTAGTGATTAGTAAAATAATATAATTGTAAATGTTATGTAAGAAACATTAAAACATTTGAAATGGTGAATAAAGTGAAATGAAGAAGTGAATAATACAGAATAAAGTAAGTATTTACCAATATGGAAGGGAATGAGAAACTGCCAGCTGGATGTACCTGCACCTCAGTGATGTTGTTCTTACTGAGACTCGAACCTTGTACCTCAGACCCTACATACCAACAGAGGTCGAAGAATTCGACCCAATAAAAACAACGGAGAATAAGTACAGTCATTTGGAAAAGTCATTTCTGTACAAACAATTCTGGTTTTCGATTTCGGTATTCCCGGAGCTTCAGCAATGAGAAGTACAAGTTACTTCACACTTTTTTGAAAGATTACGTTATATTTCGTAGATTATAACGAAAGAACCTTCTTAAACTGCGTCCACTGTCAACTGAATGTTGTAAGTTGGAGCTATTGGTTAACCTACATTGACCTTCACTGAGTTGTACTGGAACCCGTTGACTTCAACTTTGGAAAAGTTAACTTTATGTGGAACTTTTGTACCTAGCTCCTCAGAAGGAGGATTTATGCAGTCTACTGCGTCTTCGTTTCTTTTCATAAAAGAAAGCAATACCATTTCTATTCCTTTTGATGACCGTCTTTGTTGTTGCAAAGTGTTCGACTATAGTACAATTTATTCTCAGTAATTTTACGGTCAGGTGTTTTTAGAGTTCTGCCATTCAGTCCATCGATCTTACTTTAACGTTCCAAGAATACTGGTTCAGAAAAACATATACTAATGTTGTTGCGTGTATTAGCGAGTCGCAGAGTGGATCTAACTGATAGGTCCCCATTAGTATATAGGCTCCTGCGCGGATGCTTCAGTACTGCCTGTGTTTGAATCATATATTATTAATGGATAGTAGCTAGCAGTGGAATCCAGGACATGCTTTTTGTCCTATTTAGAACTCATCCTCTGGATGTACCTGTCTCCCAGCGAGCGGTGTTGTTCAAACTAGGACTGAAACCCGGGATCGATATCTTCAAGCAGCGATAGTAAAACTATACCTGCCAGGCCAGAAGTTGCTGTTGTGACTGATTGGTCCAGTAAATAACGATCTGCCATTTGAAACGGTCGGTCACGAGTTCAAATCCTAGTGGGAACAACATCGCTGACTGGAAGGCAGATACATCCAATCGGCGAGTGGCAAGTAGGACAAAACGCATATCCTATATTCCACTGCAGGCCACTATCCATCATTGGTAAGAAATATATGCTTCATGAGATTCAAATTTCGCCAATTTTAACTGAAGATTAAATATGTTCGGCATTCAGTTGAAGACTCATTGATTACAGTAGGACTCTCCCATGAGTCAGATGATAGGGAGCATTTACTGTTAAAAGTGTTCTGCCCTCGATATTGATAATCATAAGGTCTGTTTCAAGTACTGTGTGGAAGGTCCAATCACTCTACCACAATACTACACAATTAGATTAACATTTTGTTTTACATGTTACCTAGTTGTAGCTGATTGGTGAGATATATCAGTAGAAGAATGGGTGAAAACGGATACTGTTTTGAAACAAATTGAATACATACTTAAGGGTTTACAGATTCAAGACTGAAACTATATTACAATCTAAAATATTCCACATGTGAAGACAGTACTCATCATGGACTGATAGCAGTTGAGGAAACATTGAAAATCTGGGAGTACTCGACAACTACTTTGCTGCCGTATGGGACTACTTAATAGTAGGCACTCATGAGCCCACCGGAAAGTGAACTTAGGGCCTTCAGGTTTCGCGGCGGGCACGCCACTATTCAGGTACTGGGTACATACTGCGGGCGAGTCCTAAACTAGGATAAGACAGCTGTCCAGTGATCCCAGATTTTCAGTGGCTCCCCAGATGATGTCAGTCCATCATGAATGCCACGTTGAGATCAGTAAAGCCCTACAGACCTGAAATTATATTCCAGATTTGTCTAGAACTGTTTGAATATTTGAATCAGAAAGTAACCGGCATTAAAACAGACGGGAAGTTTATCAGCACTTTATATTGCTGATTTTTAGCTTAGCAATGAAGTTTGCATCACTAAACTAAATAGGGTACAGCCTTATATTTCATCTTATCCCATGCAGTATTATAATCAAACTCAAAAGGATGCAAATAAATTAACTTCTAAGCTTTGTAGACAGTTTGAGTGGTTTTCTGTTCATCTCTTCCCACTGTAAAAGCTGAAAATATTTTTAATCAGTAAATGCGTGTTTGTCATCTAAAAGTCTAAACTTATCATACTTTTCTCTACAACACTGATTTCATTTCAGCCAAGGTGGGTGACATCTTGTCATATTAGCGGTCAAGCTCTAAAGTCAAGACTACTACCTTTAGCTCGAGCTCAGATACGCAGACGGATTCGTCGAGGTAGTTTGATATTATATCCTAATGGCAATAATTTGGAGTCTGAACGAATATCAACCAAACGATCAGTGAATGATGCGGTTGCCTTAACAACACTTTCTGATACTGTTAATAAACATGACAGATTTGACCAACAAAAGTCAGTTTCATAAATTAATATCAAGCTTTTATTGCATTAGTTATATGTAAGCTTGTCTGTAGAATATTTAGACAAGGTTTCAGACTTTTGTACTAGAGATTTCAACAGAGTTCACATTCACTGAGTCAGTGAACTGTACTCATAAAATTACAATTACTGAACCCTCAAAGAATACTCAAGAAATATTGTTATAAAGTGAATGACTACAATAAGGCGTAGGTACATCTAATTTAGTTGATGTATTAAATGTATCACGCAGTGTATTTACTAGATTACTTTTCGGATACAATTTATTGTACACAGTCATATCAAGATAACTTCACAACTTTCGGGAGTAGCTCAAAAGGTCTTAGCAACGACTAGAATAGACAATTGGGTTTCTTTATTTCAGCTGGAAAGGCATTTTCTATAAAATCAAGAAGTCTAATTGGTTATTTCAGTTGTTGACCACTCTAACCTATGGACTTGACTTCACAAAGTAAGTTGACTAGGGTTGATTAGGGTTTCCAAGCACAAAACCCCAGCTAAATCGAAATTAGTAGACCCTAGTAAGATAAGGAATCTAGAAAAAAACATGGCCATAAGTATGCATGGCATTACTCACAACCAAACGCTAGGATGAGATAAGGTAAAAATCCCTAAAGGTAGGTGGGGTGAATGGTGAGTTTGACAACCTAATCTTTGTTTATCGAATCAATACCAAATATGTGCAAAAGGAATGACTCAGGATTCGTTCCGGATATATAGAAAATCCTAGTACCTATATCACAAAGAAGGCGAGAAAGAACCACATAAACCATGTCTCAAAGTTGTACAGCTATTTTGATATGACCATGGACAATAAATTGTGTCCGAAATGTGGTCCAGTAAATAATACCGTTTAACTGTGCTATACATTTGGTAAATAAATTAAAATGGAATTACACTCTGCTACAGTGTCAAACTTTTGCTCTTATGTTGAGTTGTTGTAGTTAATGACGATGCTGAACGCACTACCATATTGAATTGAATGCAGTAACGACTATACCCTAAGCCATGAATATATTAGAAGGTAAAACTTCACATGTGGCTGCAAGGATGACTTTATTCTGGAAAAGCACATTGTAAATATATATGTAGGTTTACAAATACATAAGCTCTTTAGGTCAAAGACAGGACAACTAATCCTGATTGGATTTTGAGTTGTTTTTGGGGATTTGGAAATATTTCAAGTCGGTATTCATCATAAACTTATGTCGGTTGGAGGAACAATACAAACCTGGGGGCATTGGACAGATGTTTCATCCTAACATGAGAGTCTTCGGCAGTGCACACCTACGACCTCACCAGGGATGTCAGTCTACGATGAATACCAACTTGAAATTTCTCTGAATCTCCACAAAACCCTCAAAATTCAATTGAACTGGTGCTCATTGGTGACTAGCTTCGACAAGTGGTTCCCGAAGTTCCAGTGAGAGGTCGCAACCAGTGGGGCAAACCTGGTGGTCGTGAAGACAAATACTCAACGATGACATTGGGTGATGGTCGCGATATGTCGTGAACTGACAGAAGTTGGAAATATGGATCATCAGATTCCAACCTAGTGGCTTAGGGGTAACATGTTGCCCACGGGATTTGTAGGTCGCGAGGTCATGGGTGCGCGTTGCTGGAGAGTCCCAAACTAGGGCGAAGCAGCTGTTCAGTGCTCCCAGGTCTCCGTTGTTCCTCCAACTGATGTCAGTCTACTATAAATACCAACGTGAAATGATCCTGATTGACTTTGTAAAGGAAGGATTTTGTCCAGTAAGATTTAAACTGGCCATACAGCAGCATCAATCAAAATTTGCAGCTCCAACTCTCTTACCTGAAAGTCAGATGAATATAAATGTTGATTTTTTTTAACCGCTTCTTGCTAGCAAGTTTACGCAATCCAACATCAGCCCAACACAGAAACTTGCGAAGTAATAAACAGATTTTCCTATTGAATTCTGACAGTTCTCAGTTTTACATACACAGTATCTCACGAGAATCAAACGAAGTATCATAGAGAATATTTGACGCACGCGCCATTTATATATTTTTTCGGTCACATAGGCAGCTATCAAAAAGTGATATGTTTGCCTATTTTACAGTTATAATTAAGCTAAATTTTAGCATATTTATTTAGTAAATTGTTTATAAACCACATCATTGATTCTTATAACCAAGTATTTTTTAAGTTAACGGCTTTGATGCTAACTGAGTATGAATTGGACACCCCTTCAACAAAGAACATAAACTGTGATTGCATACCAGAAAAGTACAGTGAAACAAATAAAATATACTACTGAATCGCATAATTAGTTTGGAACTGCTCAATATCGATGTGATAGTCAGGTCAAAGTCACCATTACTGAGTTGCTGCTAAGGTGAAATTGTGTTGTCATATCAGTAGGTGGCTAAATAAAGTACTCAGCTGCAAGAAATGTGGATACAGAAAATGCAACTCGTAAGTAGACTGTAAGCAATTCATTCAAACACAACCCATCGGATCTCATTCATATGGTATAAAAGTTATGACTTGCATTTCCAAGAGTCTATCAAAAATCAACTCAGTTTTAGACGACATAAATTTAATTATCAGGTGCATCTATTACTTAACTATCGGCGATGAAGTATAAGGGTGACTGAAGGTGATTTCTACATACTCACTTCCAAGAGTAATACAAATTTTAAGCAAGATACAATTTCTACTCAAATAAATGACATAAGTAGATTACAAGCTGGAATTCGGATAATGTAATTAGAAGACGTAGATTATCTGAAAAATGTGATGTATTAGCGCTATACATTTCGAACAATCTGATCACACATTTACTTGTTAAGGCAATTTATATATGAAAACTGGAAGTGGGGGAAGGACACATATGACATAAAGGAATTCAATAATAAGAAAGATAATGAGAGGAATAAAAGATAAGACTTGAAGACAATCTTGGTAATACGATAAAATAAGCATTACCAAGGTAGGCTTAATGTAAGGACAAACTGTTTTTGCACACACAATGGGGGGTTAAATTTATTTATGGCTAGCGCCTCAACAAACTTAAGTATACGCCCCTGACAGTTTCGGTACAAAATTGTAAAGGCTGTCTTGATATCAATTCTGTGACTCTTATCAATGATATGTTTCGCAATGGATGATGATGGTTGTCTGCCATCTGCGCTTATCAATGTTTGTGAATCCAGCTGCTTTCGTAGCCACTTTGGAACATGTTCCCCTACCCTCAAGTGCATATCACGATTCGTCCTCCCTATGTATGTTTGTCCACACACACATGTAAATTTATAAACGCAATGGGATGTGACACAATCGTTTATACAGCGTTGAGGTCTAGGTAGCAGCAGGTGTTTGGTCTTCTCAACTATGATAAGCTTAGCTGCATAGTACGTTTTGCTAACAGCAGACCTTAACCTTCGTTTTAATATTATGCTATTAGCTTCTCCTCTGTATGGTAACGCGATGTAAACGCATTTCTTCGAAACAGAGCACAGATCAGGTTTGAATCCTCGCTGATTTTTGCAGCGGTTTATGAACTTCAATGGATATCCATTTTCCACTAATGTTTCCGTTAGTATTTTGATATCATCATCCATTGAGTCCTCCGTACAAATACGTTCGATCCTTTTAAATAGACAAATTACCAAACCTCGCTTGTATTGGGTTGGACAAAAGCTATGGAAACTTAAATACTGACCTGTCCAAGTAGGTTTCCTGTAGATCGACCGTTTTATTGAACCATCATTTCTACGACTTAGGAGTATATCCAAGAATGGCAGACGGTTTTCTTTTTCTTCTTCACTTGTCAGGCTTATGTTGTTTTGTACGTTGTTAAGTCTTTCTAACAAACATGTTGCATCTTCATGCTTATCACATATGACGATTATATCATCGACATATCTTTTATAGAGAGTAACTTTATTGATGAGATCGCCGGTCAAGCTCTCAATGTGTGACATGTAAATATCAGCTAGCAATGGTCCTAAAGGACTTCCCATAGCCACACCATCTATTTGTCGAAAATGTTCACCTTCAAATGTGAAATGAACTTTATCGGTACACAATAATAACAGCTCTCTCAAACACGTTGAGGGGATAGGGAAAGAAGGATTACTGGAAGATATATGGTCACAAAGAATGTCAATGGTTTTAATTAGGGGTACATTAGTAAATAAGGAGTTGACATCAAATGAATACAATCTCTTATCTTTGATATTAATATCACTGACATAATTAACAAGTTCAAAAGTATCTTTTAAAGAAAACTTACATAAATCATTTCGAATAGGAATTAGAGTTTTTGCTAACCATTTCGCCACTTTATGTGTAGGTGAACGGAACATGGAGAGTATAGGACGTAAAGGATTATCTGTTTTATGAATTTTAGGCAATCCATACAGATTAGGTAGCTCAGACCCCATCGGTTTGAGGGAAGCAAATTCTTCCTTGTTGATAACATTGATATTCAGGAGTTTTACTAGACTAGATGTTACTTTGCATTCTAATTTTCTAAGGTCGTCTGATGGAACATCAGCCATAAATTTACTTTCATCGCTAAGGATGGACATCATCTTGTTTTTGTAATCACATTTGTCCATCACAACCACACCGGACCCTTTATCGGGTTTGAGAATGATAATATCAGATCTATTTCGAAGTCCTTTTAGGGCTTTGAAATGTTGTGAAGTTAGGATACTTCGCTGTCTTGGGCCTGAACTATGGAACTGATGGGCAATATCCACCAGCTTAGCCTTAAACCAACTCTGATTATCTGAGGAGGTTGGAACAAGGGGAAATAACTGATCATAAAGACTTTCAAATTGGGCATCAATAGCCAAATCCGAAACTTTCGTGTGGGGAACCGAAAAACTGAATCCAAGGGAAAGCGCCTCCTTCTCACACGTCGAAAGTTGAATAGACGATACATTAGTCACATATTTATCTGGATTAATTGGGAATGAGATAACATGAGACTCATTAG